CCAGCAGGCTCTCTGCAGTCGACTTATTAACTGTGTTTATTGGGGAAATTAAAATTCTCAGACTGAAAGAGACTTTCTTTCCTATGGGTTTGAGAAATTGGTGAATGGCGCTGCCACGTGTCAAGCAGTGGCCTGCTATTGCAAATGAGTTAGGCCGGGTCTATAGGCTACAGCTTCCTCTGTGTTTCCTTTGAGGGCTCCTAGAATGCTAAGTCCTTGGGGGTCCAGGGCAAGGAGGACATTCCAAACAGAAGGGGATGAGTGAAGGATGGTAGGAGAGAAATCATGTGGCGAGTGTACACGGGACGGCAAGGAACTTGTAGGGCTGGAGCCCTGAGTCTGTAGCTGGGGGTGGTGGGTTGAGACTACAGAGGTGGACCAGGGCCCGACTGTGGGGATCCACAATAAGTTTACAAGCCTATGATACCTCTTATGATACCTATGATACCTCTTCCCATTGTCTCGTAGGCAATGGGAAGCCACCAATAGATTCTATTAATTTTTTTCAAAACACAAGCCTCGGGATCAGCAGATGGTGTAATGGTTAAATCGCTGGACTCCCACATGTCTGGCTGCAATTCGAGTTCCAGACCGGGAGGCTAGAAACTCATGCTGGGCACATATGCGTGCATTCCCAGGATCCTGAGAAGAGAATGGAGGAGAAGGGATTGCAGCGTGGCCATCTCCCCACTGGGGGTGGGGTGTGATTTCTCACCTTCTGTCTCTCTGTCTTTGTCTCTGGTGACTGCACATGTCCTATAGCAAAAATCTCTCTTAAAACAAAACAAGGGACCAATGGGCGGCATGGTGGTTAAGGTGCTGGATACCCACATGGCCGACCACAAATCGAGTCCTGGACCTGGCAGCTTGCTTTCTCACTCTGTCTTTCTCTGGTAAAAATAAAACAAAAAAATTGGTAATAAACGGTCAAATAAGTATTTAAAACAAAATAAAACACAAACTTTTTTATTAAAATTTTTTAAAAATTCAATACTGGGGCCAGCAGGTGGTATGGCGTTTAAGATACTGGACTCCCATGTGGCTGACCACTGTTCAAGTCTCGAACCTGATGACTTGTTTTCTCACTTTTCTTCTCTCTCTCTCTCTTTCTGTATTCTTTTGTGAGCGTATGTGCTCTATAGCAAATTAAGAATAAACTGCAGATGACATGATGGTTAAAGGCGCTGGACTCCCACATGGCTGACCACGGTTCAAGTCCTGGACCTGGTGGCTTGCTTTCTCACTTTCCTTCTCTCTCTGTCTCTGGTAAAATTAAAATAACAATAATTTAAAATTTAAATAAATAATTCTTTTAAAAGAATCAATAAATAGAATAAATAATTCTTAAAAAAAAACATTAAAAATTCAATACTTTTCAAACATTCTCATAGTGACCTGAGTCTCTAGGCAGTAGGAAAACTGCATTCCTTTTTGTTGTGGTAGTCCTTGTACTCGAGTTCATCTAGGCGCCAAGTAAGTTAAACCTGGATGGTATTCCTTGTACACTACACTTGGTTTTCCACGTGAGCTGAATGTCCTGTGGTGGAATTGACGGGGCAGCCACATTGCAGAGCCCAGATGGAAACAAAAAGTCCAGACACTGGAGACAAGCTTGTGGTGCTTGTGAGTCACTGATAAGCTTTAAGTTGGGGGTGACCAGGTTGGATTTTTTTGGCGATGACTCTAGAGGCTGACAGGGGATGGAATCTGAGCAGCCCCAGATCACGAGGGAGAGCCAGTGGAAGTTCTAGGTCAAGTAAAAGAGGCTGACAACTTTGGGACCAGCAGTTAGCATAATGGCTATGTTGCTGGACTCCCATGTAGTCAACCACGGTTCACATCCTGGACCCGGTGGCTTAAACTCACGCCGGGCGCGTGTGCGTGCGTGCCCAAGATCCCGAGAGGAGAATAGAAGAGAAGGGATTGCGGCATGGCCATCCTCCCTGGGGGGGTGGGGGGATGATTTCTCACTTTCTATCTCTCTGTCTCTCTCTGTCTGGCAAGCACATGTGCCCTATAGCAAAAGCCTCTCCAAAAAAAAGAAGAAAAAATACAAGAGGCTGACAACCTGAGTGAAGACTGTGGTGGTGGGAAGGCAAAGAATGATGGCTGGAAGGAATAGACAGACAGGAAGTAAAGTGAGCAGGATCAGGTAATTGATCAGCTCTGGAAAGCGAAGAGGTTAGCATCAAGTATGTGTCCCACGTTTCGAAGATGAGTGAATGCAAAAATCACACCCTACCACAGAGGGGAATCATATGGCCATGGTCAGGGAGGTGAATGACCCCCATAGAGAGTGAAGAAAATAACTGGGCTTTTAATACAAACGATCACAGCCATTAACTGGCTATAAACCCTAGGGAGTTTACCCAGCCTCTCTGTTTTGGTTACCACTACTGTGAAACAGGAATATAATAGTACTACCTATTAGGATTGGGGAAAAGAGTGAACTTAGTCGTACATGTAAAGCACTTAGAACAATACCCAACACAGAGGAAACAATAAACTTGGGTGGGTGGAGGGGAGGGGCAATGGGCCCATTAGTGTTTTTGGGTACAAAGCTTCAGTTTGGGAAGATGAAAAGCATTCTGGAGATGAACAGTAGCAACAGTTTCACAACAATGTGAAAATACTAATGGCCACAGAACTGTGCAGTTAAAAGTGGTTACAATGGTAACTTTTATGATATGTATGTTTTAATTTATTTTTTCATAGAGAGATTTTTGCTACAGGATGTGTGCGCTTGCCAGAAACTGAGAGAGGCAGAAAGTGAGAAATCACCTCCTGGGGGGTGGGGGGGATGGCCACATCACAATACCTTCTTCTCCATTCTCCTCTCAGGATTTTGGGCAAGACACACACATGATGTGAGTTTCAAGCCTCCGAGTCTGGGACTCAAACTGTGGTTGGCCATGTGAGAGTCCAGTGACATAACCACTACATCATCTGCTGGTCCCATAGTACGTATATTTTACAGCATTAAAAATAATGTAGGCTGGGACCAGCAGGCAGTGTGGTGGTTAAGGTACTAGACTTGCACATGCCAACTGTGGTTCAAGTCTTGGACCTGGCAGCTAGAAAATCATGCCGGGCGCATGTATATGTGCACCCAAAATCCCAAGAGGAGAATGAAAGAGAAGGGAGGGGGCATGGCCATCCCCCCTGAGGGGTGGTCTCTCACTTTCCTTCTCTCTGTTTCTCTCCAGTGAACACACATACCCTATGGCTAAAACCTAAGAAGTAGTGAATACAAATCAGAGGTGAATGGGTTTGCCAGGGGAGGGACTGCAGTGTAGGGGTTAGGCAGAAAGAGGAAAGCCGAGGCACTGACTCTGAGGGCCAAGCATCGTGAAAGGGCGCTCCTGGGACACGGAGAAGCAACATCCAGACCGGAAAACCAGAAGAGGATGATGTCCTGGAAGCCATGGGAATGCCATAGCTGGCTGAGCCCCCTTTCCTTTGGCGCCTTGGTTTTGGTGGGTCTGTTTTTCTGCCAGTTCCTGATGATGTCATTTCTGGCCACCTGGCCCCAGATGCCTCAATGCAAAATTCTGGTCAGGTCTCCTCTCTTGGCTCCGTTTCTCCCCGCTCCCTAGACAGTCCTACTTGTCCACTGTTGACATGTTGCTGAGACAAACCATTTTCTAAATAAAAAGAATTTGGGACAATTTTGTGTTATTTTTATTATTACCGATGCATATTTTTCTACCCTAAAAAATAAAAAGTTTCAAACTTTGAATTTAAACGTTAAAGATGGTTAGTTTATGATCAAGATTACAAACAGAAGAGTTCATCTTTTGTTTACAGAATTTTGACTATTTGATAAGTCGTAGGATAGGAAAACCAGAAGCTAAACCTTTCTAATGGGAAATGAAGAGGATGCATTTGCTTGGAGACAGGATTTTTTTTAAAGAAATAATTACATTTGCACCTATCTTAAGATATTCATAACGTAAAAGTCACCATCAAAACATACACCTATCTTAAGATATTCATAACGTAAAAGTGACCATCAAAACATATAAATTTTTTTTTCATTTTTAAAAGGTTTTTCACCAAAGAGAGACAGAGAGAGACAGGCCGAGTAAAAGTGAGTGCTCACTCCCCCCGCCCCAATCCCCCGGCCCAGCGGGGATGGCCCCTGTAAGCCCTCACTCCTGGGATTTGGGCACACGAGCATACTCACCCGGTGATTTTCAGGCCACTGGGTCTGGGACTTGAATACTGTCAGCCATGTCCAGCACCTTAACCACTACACTACTTGCTGGACCCTGTAACTTTTAAAAATTTTTAACTGCCAGAGGATGTGTGAGTTCTCCAGACAAGGGGGAAGAGAGAGAGAGCGAGAGAGAGAACCCTTCCAATGGATGTGATCACATCACACACGCTCACCTGTTTTCTGTTTTTGTTTTATTTGGGGGGAGAGATTTTTATTATAGGGCATGTGTGCTCATCAGAAAGAGAGAGACAGAGAGATAGAAAGTGAGAATCACCCCCGCTCAGGGAGAATGGCCATGCCACAATTCTTTCTCCTCCATTCTCCTCTCGGGATCTTGGGCATGCACACACATATGCCCGGTGTGAGTTTAAGCCACCGGGTCCGGAATTCGAACCGTGGTCGACTGTGTGGGAGTCCAGCCACATAACCACTACACCATCTGCTGGTCCCCACCTGTTTTTGTTTTTGTTTTAAAGACACAGGGGCTGTGACTCAAACTGCAGTTGTTGTGATCCAGCTCCCTAATCACTAGGCTGGCCCACTGTAACCATTTTGAAGGGCCCAGTTCTGACATTAAGTGCTTCACATTGTTGCACAACTATCACTATTCCTCATCTCCAGGACTTTCATCTTCTCAAACTGAAACACTGTACCTATAAAACATTACTTCTAGACATTGGCTGGGCAACCATCAGAGAATCAGGAGATAAGAGCCACGGTCCTTCGGTCCTTCGCTCTGCAAAGAAAAAGGCCTGGGAACTTTGCTTTTTTATTGCTTTTATTTCTCCAAGAGTTTGCTTACAAAGTGAATTGACCTTGCACAGTGAGCCTGATGTAATCTTAAGAAAATATATGAAGTAGGCTTTCGAAAAAGTTACACGTGCTCTAAGCAGCCATCGCATTTGACAATCATTTTCCACAGCTTTTGTCCTTTTCGGGATGGGGAGGTGGGGTTATTTTGACACGTGAATGATTAAATCTACATGCAAGAGATCCAAACTCTTGCTGACCTCCCTTTGAAACACCAGCTGGTCCTGGGATACAGATCACTGAGGCAAGTAGGCGGGTCTCTGTCCAAGCCCTCAGTGACGCCAGTTCCAGGCTGCTGGGCCGAGGTCTGAGCTGTCCACACACACAAACCGAGCAGTTCCTCCCACAGAAACAGCATGTGCGGAACACAGAGGAGGGGCTAAAATGCATCCCATGGAGGAAAAGGGACTGTTTTCTAGTCCCCATTTGTCCGAGTCCTTGGAGAGCACAGAACACTGCAGAGCTGGAGAACCTCCCACTCCAGGGTCCTGCCTCTCTTAAGTCCTCACTTGGCAGGTGGCGGTTCTCATATTATCGACCCTTCCCAGAATGCTGGGGCCGTTTCCCACACTCAACTCCACAATGTGAGCCCCTGCAGAGGTTCTCCGTGCAGAAATGATGAGTTTCAAACAGCCCCTCCCCTGCCCCGGGACGCGGCTCCACAGTCCCAGCTGTATCCCTGAATCAACTCTGAAGGAGCAGTGCTCTCTGGAATCATGCTCAGTCAGGCCAGAGCAGATGGCCTGTGTAGGGACACAGGGATCACCCCCAGGCTAGTTTTCTGATGATGCTTTCCCAGTCCGCGCTCAGACATTTTGCCTACGTAACAGCCATTTGGAGACAGAGATAGGTTTCTGACCAGCAGCGGCTGAGTTGCTGTCCTTAACACTCCACATGCTGTTTTTCCCTGGGTTTGGGACAATGAAGGTCCCCCAAAGCCTCAGCTGCAGAGCCCAGAGAGGAAAGCGGGCCAGGGCGAATGTCTCAGCTATTTCCTTCCTTTGGGAACATCGGCTTTCACGAGTCACCAGCTGATTCCAAGACTCCTCTCCCAGCAGGCCAGGTGGCGTCCAGACCTGGAGGAGGCCTGGCTGGTGCAGGAGGAAGGTGGTAGGAGGAGGTATGGGTGGCAGCCAGCAGACCCTGGGAAGCAGTGGCCCTGGAGCTGTTTTCCGTTTTGGCGGATCTGATGGGATCGCTATAGGGTTCCATATGAGTGTAGGCAGCAAAGGCCCTGGGAGGGGCTGCTAAGAGAACAATGCTGGACGGGACTTTCTTGGAAGCTTCCAGGCTCCCAGGCACACTTCATGTCCACGAGTCAATGCAAAATGTGGAGGCTGCCCTGGGCTGTGCAGGGAGAAGGGGAAGGTGGGATTGGCGTGGGGGCCGTTGTGCAGGGAATTCGGTCTTTAGTCTTTGTCTTCCCTCCACGGAGAATCTCACTCTGAACTTGGAGAGGCTGCAGAGTCTCCATCCTCAGGGTCCTGCCCATGGGGGGAGATAGGCTGACCCCCCTTCACACGTTTCCACTTCATCCTTCGGTTCTGGAACCACACTTTGACCTGAGGGAAGAAACAAGAGACTGGTCACCCCAGGACTAGTGTCACCCCTTCCCTATGCTGATGCTCAAGCTCGCCAGGGTACCAGTCTAGAGACCCCAGCTTGAAACCCTCACTTGTAGCTCCCCCCTCCCCCAAAAGGTCCCGGGAACTGAGACCAAAGAAAAGACATAGCAGTCTGCCCATAGGGCTGTCTTGTGTCTCCAGAGAAACCCCCAGAAAGACTAGGAACAGGTTCTAACGATCAGAACCTGGTTGGACCCATCCCTTTTGCAGGCCCGTCCCTCCATGCAAACACCTCTTCCTCCTGCCTCTGTTACCCAAGGACTTGGGCACAGTGGGTCACCGGCCTCAACCCGAGGCGCATTTACCAAGCACTTTCCAGCTTAGACAGCTCTGGTCAGCACATTTTCTCCCTGGAGCTCCGGTATTAGCTGTGGGCTAGGCTCTGGCCCCATTTTACAGATGAGACCCAGAGATCGCAGGGCTAGGAAGCGCGAGAGGCGGGGTTAGAATCTAAATCTTCGGACTCAAAGCATGGCACCCTGGCAGAGGGCTCTGCGGGGTAAGACTGCTCCCCAATATCATTATTGCTGTTAGGACATACCCGAACAGGGTGTGTGGGTGGGCAGATGTCCTAAAGGAAAGCCCCTCTAAAAAGGACCAGGGAAATTTGTTTTTTTTTCAGCCCAGGAACCAGCTGCATATCTGAGTCACCTGGGGAACTTATTAGAAACGCAGGTCCCCAGGCAGCTGCTCTCTGGAGCTTCTCGCTCTGCATTTTGAACGGATGCTCAGGTGACTCCAGCCTGCACTGGAGTGAGGAGTAGTCAGATCAGAGGGTCTGAACCTGGTTGCACCTGAATCATTGGTGAGGGGGAGGAGCTTTGGAAAATTCTGATGCCTGAATTCCATCCTAGTCCAGTTGAAACCGTCTTTAGGACTGGAGCCTAGACATCGGTGTTGTTACAGTCTCCCAGAGGACCCTCAGGTACAGCCACCGCTGTGCTTGGGCCGCACCTGCCGCTCAGAGAGGTCCAGGTTTACTGCGATCTCGTATCTGCGGAGCCGGGTCAGGTAGTTATGGTGGGCGAACTCGGCCTCGAGCTCCCGTAGCTGCTCCTTGGTGAAGGCTGTCCTCTCCTTGCGGGCCTTGCTGCCAGCTTCTGGCCTCCCTCTGGCCTCCTGGTTGTCTGGGAAGAGAGGGTCCCAAACAGGAAGAAGTGAGTCCAAGGGGTCTTTGGTGGGTCCCTCCCTCCCTCCCTCCCTCCCGTCCCTTCCCTTCTATCTTTCTTTCCTAATCCCCCCCCTCCATGAATGGGAGAGACAGGAAGACAGCACACAGAGATGTAATCTTCAAGCTGTGATCCACCCCCAGGTCCAGCTAGCCCAGATCATGGTTATGTGAGACCCTGGAGTACTCAAGGAGGTCTTCAGACTGGAACCCAGAACTTTCCCATGTGAGTCAGCCTTGAAGAGCTTCTCAGTTTACTGCTGTGTCACCATCTGGCCCCTTGGCTCCCTTTGTCCTCAGCAGCTAGGCAACTTTTCTCTAGTCTCTTATTTTTAAAGGATGCTGAGCATAAAGCTATATTGTCCCTTTATTCCATCTGGAGTCTTACCCCTCCCAAAATATTGGGAAATTTTTTGACTCCCAATCTCAGGTGACCCCTTACTTTCCCCCATTTTTTTTTTTTTGAGAGGTTTTTGTTTGCTATAGGGCACATAAGCTCATCAGAAAGACAGAGAGAGACAGACAGAAAACAACCAGGGGGGATGGCCACACTGCAATCCCTTCTCCTCCATTCTCCTCTCGGAATCTTGGGCACACACACGTATACGCGCCTGGTGTGAGTCTCAGCCACCGGGCTCAGAACTCGAACTGCGGTTGACTACATGGGACCTTAGCAACATAGCCATTACACCAACTGCTGGTCCCATGAGAAAGAAAGCTACCAGGTTCAGGACTTGAACCTTGGTTGGCCATGTGGGAACATCCAGTGCCTTAACCACTATGCCACCTGCTAGTCCCCAATTTTTTTTTTGAATTCCCCAAACACATAAAGCTGCTCTTGGTTATTTAGTGATATCTACTCCTTGTGCCCACGTCCAGCATGGCATTATTAGTGACTGTAAGCTTGCCTGGAAATAGAGATTCTAATTTTTTTTTTTTTTCTTGAGAGAGGTTTTTTGTTAGTTCTGGCCTCCCTCTGGCCTCCTGGTTGTCTGGGAAGAGAGGGTCCCAAACAGGAAGAAGTGAGTCCAAGGGGTCTTTGGTGGGTCCCTCCCTCCCTCCCTCCCTCCCGTCCCTTCCCTTCTATCTTTCTTTCCTAATCCCCCCCCTCCATGAATGGGAGAGACAGGAAGACAGCACACAGAGATGTAATCTTCAAGCTGTGATCCACCCCCAGGTCCAGCTAGCCCAGATCATGGTTATGTGAGACCCTGGAGTACTCAAGGAGGTCTTCAGACTGGAACCCAGAACTTTCCCATGTGAGTCAGCCTTGAAGAGCTTCTCAGTTTACTGCTGTGTCACCATCTGGCCCCTTGGCTCCCTTTGTCCTCAGCAGCTAGGCAACTTTTCTCTAGTCTCTTATTTTTAAAGGATGCTGAGCATAAAGCTATATTGTCCCTTTATTCCATCTGGAGTCTTACCCCTCCCAAAATATTGGGAAATTTTTTGACTCCCAATCTCAGGTGACCCCTTACTTCCCCCCATTTTTTTTTTTGAGAGGTTTTTGTTTGCTATAGGGCACATAAGCTCGTCAGAAAGACAGAGAGAGACAGACAGAAAACAAGAAATCACCACCGCCAGGGGGGATGGCCACACTGCAATCCCTTCTCCTCCATTCTCCTCTCGGAATCTTGGGCACACACACGTATACGCGCCTGGTGTGAGTCTCAGCCACCGGGCTCAGAACTCGAACTGCGGTTGACTACATGGGACCTTAGCAACATAGCCATTACACCAACTGCTGGTCCCATGAGAAAGAAAGCTACCAGGTTCAGGACTTGAACCTTGGTTGGCCATGTGGGAACATCCAGTGCCTTAACCACTATGCCACCTGCTAGTCCCCAATTTTTTTTTTGAATTCCCCAAACACATAAAGCTGCTCTTGGTTATTTAGTGATATCTACTCCTTGTGCCCACGTCCAGCATGGCATTATTAGTGACTGTAAGCTTGCTTGGAAATAGAGATTCTAATTTTTTTTTTTTTTCTTGAGAGAGGTTTTTTGTTAGAGGGCACATATGCTCACTGGAGAGACAGAGAGACAGAAAGCGAGAAATCACCCCCTGGTGGATGGCCATGCCACAATCCCTTCTCCTCCATTCTCCTCTCCAGATCCTGGACACACACGCACACGTGCCTGGTGTGAGTTTTAAGCCATTGGATCTGGGACTCGAACTGCAGTCCACTATGGAGGAGTCCAGACACATAACCATTATGCTATGCGCTGGTCTCGAAACAGAGATTCTTTCAGTAAGGGTCCAAGCAGCAGTATCAGCACCTCTGAAAAGTTGTTAGAAATGCACACCCTACGGCCTTGCTCCAGACCTACTGAGTCAGAAACTCTGGGGTCGGGGGGAGAGTGAGGCTCACAAAACCGCAGGTAATCCCTCCCCTCAGTGAATTATTATAAAATCTACCCCGGAGGGTCACTGGGGCTGTTGTTAGACACAGCAGGGCTCAGTCAAAACCACTAACAGGGTCAAGGGATCATATATCACCCCGCAACATTTCCCAAGCACATGACACGTGGAAGCCACTTAATCTTCACAATAACCCAACCAGGTAGTGCTAGTATTACCTAGCCCCATTTCCTAGACCAGAAAGGTACGCACAGAGAAGTGAAGCGAGTTGTCTGAGCTCACTGAGCGAGAGTGGTAGCCGCAGGAGTCTTACCCAGGCGGTGAGACTCACCTACTGTTCGGAGGAGGTATGTGTAAGGGACCACAGGCTGTCAAGTACTCTGCAGATGAAGTGGGCTGGATTGTTTTCTCAAAAGCAGAGTAAGGGCCGTTCCTACCTTCACGAGATTCCCGAGGTTCTTTTATTTTATTTATTTGACAGATAACTCACGGATTTTGGGGATTCAGGGGGACGAGGGAAAGCAAGAAAGCACCTCCCATGGGAAATAGTCACGTGGAAATCCCTCCTCTCCCATTTCTCCCTCCTTTAGGGGTATGTTGGGCACCCCCACACACGTGCCTGGTGCATTCCTCAAATCGCCAGATCTGGGACTCAAACCATGTGAAATCCAGCCGCCCCAACCACGGGGCCATTGGGCTGGTCCTCTACCTTCACTTTAACCGTGGTGGTGGGCGGAGGCGCACAGGAAGGAAACTGACACCCAACATTATTAGCAGTGCGTGCCAGTGCCCAGGGGATGGTTAGGAAACCAGTTATGCGGGGTTCTAACATTCAGAGGTCTGTCCTGGCGTTACAGACCTGGACCTCCGGCCTCAGAGTCAACTGCTTTACAGAAAGCTGAATCCTAACCCCCGCGCCCCCTAGGACACCCCACCTTGCTGCGGTGGGGCGTTCTCTGTCCTGGAGGGCTGGGATGGGGAGGTCAGGCCAGGTGGTGTAAGGTAGTGTAGACGCCCAGGCCCTCCGCTAGGTAGCCAAACTGCGGAGGGGCGATGGAGGAAGAAGCCCCATGTTAGCCGGCGATCCAGTTCGGAACTCAGCCTGGTTGGCTCCTGCTCAGCGCTTCCTTCCCCTGCTTTCCCTTCAACCCCTTTGTATTATATTTCGGTTTCCCGGTCCTCCGCCCCGCCCCGCCTCACACTGCCCGGAGCGTGCGGCGGGGCAGAAAGGCCGGGGGGGGGCTGCTCCGCGGCTGCGACCGCTCACGGAAAAGCGATTTGGGAGCCCGGCGAGGCCGCTCTCCAGCTGCGCGCCGCCCGCCCCCGCCAGGCGTCGGGGTTGGAAGGCGCGTGGGCGCGGCGCTGGGGTCCAGCGAACCGAGAAGGTGGAGGAGGAGCTGCCGGACCCGCTCCACGCGCCCAGACGCCGGGTGGTGGGGGGCCCGCGCTCTGACCCAGGTCCCGGCGCCCAATCCTGTTCGGCTGCCGACGGGGCGCGCCTGGGGAGCAGGGAATGAGGGCGAGTTCCTGGCACGGGCCGCCTGCCTGGAGGCCCCTGGCTCCTGGCCGGAGAAAGCAGGCCCAGATCCCTCCGGAAGCGGCAGCGTGGGCTAGAAGGGAAGGACGCGCAGCCCGGGCCCGTGTCCCCGAGGAGTCCTCCGACCTTGGCCGCCTCCAGCGCCGCGCCCCCTCCTGGTGGCCGGCCGGAGATGGTAGTCACGCAGCGGATGGACTGTCGTCACGAAACGGATGGTCTGCCTTCCCGGGGCACGCCCCTGTCCGAGGGTCGGAGAGCTAGGCCCAGAGAGCGAGGTTGGGAAACCTGGACGGTTGGCTGCAGGGAATGGATAGCCCAAATTATTTTGGAAGAGTTTTGAATCCTGAATCTCCTTGCTGGGGATTTTGAGGACGTCTGTTAACCTCTCTGGGCTTCGTCTCATCAAGAAATTAGGGGAAATTAAACACCTACTTCCCAGGGTTACTGGGAAGATTGGATGAGCTAGGTGTGTATGAGAAATGCTTTTGTAACCTAAAAGCAATGGACAAATACAAATATTTTTCCAATTCTTCAATTCTACGAGATGCCATCTGAAGGGCTGGTAGATAACAGCTAGTGGCTCCCCAAGGTGGCTCTTCTCAGATGCACGCGCTTTGATCACACCGCTGGCGGCTCACAGTAATGAGCAGGCACTTCTACTAGCTCCTTTAGCCCGGTTACAAGAATCTGTGTGAGAATTTGCTTAATAGCGCTGTCTCTAACTGCTTTTTTTCTCACGCTTACTCCTGCACCTGGCATATAGGAGGTACTTGCCTGTTTTCTAAGTCATCCTCTTCTAGGCCTCTCTGAGGAAGCATCCTCGGAGAGTCCCGGGAACTTGCCCAAGTGTGGCCAGCAGCTCCTGGGCAGCAGAATGAAGATGGGAACCCAGATCCCCTTGGCTAGCGGAAGCTCTCAACCTCGGGCTCAGGCTGTCCACCTTCTGCTAGCCAGCCTCTGGGTGGAGCTGGACCGTGGCAGCTCTTCTTGTCTCCATCTCCAGGCTCCTGTGGCGGCACTACCTTGGGTTGCCACCCACTCACCCTCCCTTCTCCCAGGCCTACTCGTGTGCACAGCTGTCCCCAGGCGTCCCTGAAAATTACTCCCCAGGCCCCCCCCCCACACACAGGAAAATAAAGGAGCGAAAACCTTCTTGGAGTTGGTTCTGGGTTAGTCGCAGGCAATGACCACAGCCAGCCAAGCCCAGCCCAGCCCCCACCCTACCCACCTCTCCTCTCCTGTCTCTTACTGTCCTGATTCAGGCTTTGGAACTTCAGCACCTATTTCCAGAAAAGGAAGTAGGAGGAAGCTTGACATGGGAATCTCAGCTACTAACTCCCTATAGGAACCTTGGCCAACAACCAGTAATGATGGGTGAGACACTGGCTCTGGAAGGACGCTTGCCCCTCATCAGCTTCCCAGAGTGGATACATTTACATCAGCATTAGAAAGGATCAAAGGGGGGGCCAGCAGTTGGCATGATGGTTAAGGTGCTGGACTCCCACATGGCTGACCACAGTTCAAGTCCCAGGCCTGGCAACTTGCTTTCTCTTTCTCTCTCTCGCTGGTGCGTAAGTGTGCCCTATAGCAAATTTTAATAATAATAATAATAATAATGATAATAGTGATAAATAAAATACAAAGAAATGATCAAAGGACCAGAAGGGAGGGGGCCAGCAGTTGGCATGATGGTTAAGGTGCTGGACTCCCACATGGCTGACCACAGTTCAAGTCCCAGGCCTGGCAACTTGCTTTCTCTTTCTCTCTCTCGCTGGTGCGTAAGTGTGCCCTATAGCAAATTTTAATAATAATAATAATAATAATGATAATAGTGATAAATAAAATACAAAGAAATGATCAAAGGACCAGAAGGGAAGCAAGCTATGAAAACGGAAATGGAAGTCATAGTTCTCCCTGTTCTGCAACAGTACCAAACAAGTCACATTTTCATCAAGATAGAAAAAGGGCATCTATGAGCACTTTCATGCTAGCAGGGACTTCGGTGTGCCCGCTCATGTGCACAGTCTGTGTGCACACTACCATATGAAAGTATTGCATGTCCCCTGAGATGGTTTGGTCTCAGGTGAGCATCTTTGTTGGGGAACCCTCTCCTCCCACTCCTTGGATCTTAGTTTCTTCATGTGTAGAAGGTATAGGGTTGGACTGGACCCTCTCCCCTGGGGAGCTGGTGTCATAAGCCCTGATACCTTCTTCTCTCCCTTCTTCCTCTCCCTTTGAGAACCTCTGCCTCTGATAAACTCTGAGGCCCCTTCCACCTTCACATACTCTTGTCTCAGTCCCAAGTTTCCCTAAGCCTTCCCTAGCTTTCCTCCAGTCCTCAGCCCAAAGATTGGACCAAGCTAGGGCGTCCCTCCTTCGAACATGCAAATTTCCCTGCCCTGAGCTGAGTGGAGGTAAGTTGTATTTCCAGATGTCTGAGGACCCATTGGAGAGCCGGCAGGTGCTGACTTCAAGGAAGAAGTTTCTAATTGTGGGCAAGTTCCCTTAAGTTCTCCGTGCCTCAGTTTCTTCATTTGCAAAATGAGAATAGCTGCACTGACTGTGATCCTCAGGCTGCTGAGAGTTAAGGTGTGAAGAACCTGTGTTAGTGCCTTGCACAATGTCTAGCACACAATTAAGACTCTGAAGACAACTATCAGAAGAGCTCCTATTTGAGATGATGTTGGAGAGTTGACTTGCAGGCAGTTTCAACAGATGCTCTTAAAGGCACGTTTCCAGACCCGTGCAAGAAGGATGCCTTTTAAATGTCTAAACTTTCAGCAGATTTCCCTTCGCTATTTTTCCATGGATCTGCATATCGTCCATGTTGCGTCAGCCTTCTAGGAGGCCATGATTCCAGGTGCAGGAACTAGATGGGATCAGAATGACCCAGAAGTCATCTCCACACTATCCACATCACTCCTCCTGGTCCTGCTGCTCTCTCAGGGGCCCCTGCTGCCCCTTCCAGGGATGCAGAGGGAGGATTCTAGTGCTCAACTGGCTGCCTTTGTAGTTAAGGAGGAGCCTCATCCCCAGCCCAGGCACGACTGTCAGATCCAGCAGAGCTGTGAGGGAGCAGTCAACAGTGCCCAGAGAAATGCATGCAGGATGTGTGTGTGGCTGCGGTTCCCACCAGGAGCGTTTACACCATCCAAGGCAAATGGTTTCATAAATAGCTGTCATGTTTGGCAGGCCTCTAAGCCTTCCTCAGCAGACAGCTTTATCGGAGTTACAACACGGTTCAGACAGTCCCAGTGGAGTTGCCTTTGTGAAGTCCTAGGTCTCTACTCCCACCTCTCCCAGCCTCATTTAACAGAAATTTCTACCCAAGACCAGAGAGAAAGTCAAATGCCCCACATGCAAATAGCACGTAGCAGGTGACAATGGATTCCTTCCCCAGAGATAAACTTCTTCAAAGCTTTCACAAATGCTACAGAATTGTGGACTGGTAGAGTCTGAAGGGACCTAGAGATGACCTGGTGTTGCCGTTTTATTTTTTGTTTTTTTTTTTTTTTTTTAAACTTTTAAAAATTATTATTTTAGGGAGATTTTTGCTATAGGGTGCATGTGTTCATCAGAGACAGAGAGACAGAAACAGAAATCACCTGCCGGGGGGTATGGCCATGGCATAATCCCTTCTCCTCCACTCTTCTCTTACGATCTTGGGCATGCGCGCACACACACTCAGTGTGAGTTTCTTTTTCTTTTTTTTTAGAGGTTTTTGCTATAGGGCACGTGCACTTGCCAGCCAGACAGAGAGAGACAGAGAAACAGAAAGCGAGAAATCACCCTCCTGGGGGGACGGCCCTGCCGCAATCCCTTCTCCTCCATGCTCCTCTCAGGATCTTGGGCATGCACGCACACGCGCCTGGCGTGAGTCTTAAGCCACTGGGTCCAGGACTCAAACTGCAGTCCACTACGTAGGAGTCCAGCGACGTAGACATTACGCTAACTGCTGGTCCCACCCCAGCGTGAGTTTCAAGGAACTGAATCCAGGACTCAAACCACGTTTGGCCATGTTGGAGTCCAGTAATGTAACCATTATGCCATCTGCCGTTCCCTCATTTCACAGGTGAGCCTAGAGAAGGTGAAGGACTGGTCTAAAGACGCACAGCAGATTAGTGACAGAACTCGGCCTAGAACCCAGATTTCCTTGATAGGAAGTCATTTCCACACTATTAGGTTGCTTCCTGGCTTACCTATCCTCTTCATTACCCTGTGAGGTAGGTAAAGTACCCATGAGTCCGTTGAACAGGTGAGAAAATTAAGGCCCAGAGATCATTAAATGGCTTGCCTAAGGCCCCTGGGACCAGGATAGGGCCAACACCACATGTCACACAGTCCTGAGGGAGCAATGAGTGTTGCAGCTGTGACCACTTAGGGGTCTGCGTCCAGGTTTGTCCACGAGATTCCTCAGGGAGGGGAGAGAAAGGAAGTGTTTGAGGCATGACACGAGTAGATGAAACCTTGACAAATCCTCTGAAAACAGTGTCTACAGCTTCCTAGGCTGAGACAATGTAGACACTTTGACGTCCTCATTAGTTCTGCTCTGCTACTCTCAACTTCAGAAGGGGTCAAAGCCCAGCAGACAAGACCTGGACGGAGCCAGTGCCAGAACAGGTGGATGTTCACAGCCAGACCTCCCTGGCTTCCTGGCATTGCCTGACTTTCTCGTGGGCTCCACCCCACCCCCTGTGTCCAGGCCCTTTCCTTCTACTGAGGGTGCTTGAAGAAACATGGGTGGATCCCAGCCTATCTGAGGAACCTAGCAGCAGGGCTGGGGAGATCAGAGTGTGCTTTCTGGGGGAGAAGCAGACTGGCCTGGAATGGGAATGCTGAGTCCCAGGAGAGGTGGGACAGTGGGTAGACTGGGCAGTAAGATGGAGCGTGAGAACTATAGAAGAGGAGTCCAGATCAGGGGAGCGGAGACGAGGCAGGGGAAGGAAGCAAAGGCAATGGGAGGTGGGAGCAGCCATCTTCAAGAGGGGCTGGAAGGGCATGGGCAGCACTGGGCTTTACATTTATAAGTTCCAGATGTCGCCCTCAGCTGTCACCAGAGGAAGTATGGGCTTCAGGACCTGGGCCCACTGCCCACATGGTTTCTTTACCATGGTGTGCAGGAAAACGGGGGGTGGGGAGGGATGTGAAATAGAAAAGGAAGTGGGGGTCCTGGCCAGAAGCCAGGGAGCTGAGTTGGGTGGAAAGCCCACCAGTGAGCACAGAGGCAGTTAAGGGGTTGACTCCAGGGTCCTGCAGAAGCTGCAAGTCCTGGCTCATAGAAGGAAAGGTCCACTCTG